GTTTTAAATTCGAATTTGTTATTGCGTATTGGTTCGATTATAGAACGATTGTAAACGTTTCAGAAAATTGATCAAATTGAAAATAGTTCGTTTGATTTTCGGCAATTCTCTTCAGCGGTAGGTGTTATATAACAATTACTATGGTTATTGAAATATTGGATGTAAATGGGGTTTGCTTGCAAAACCTCCGCTGACGAAGTCGCGGGTAACAGCTAGTGAAAACATATTTTCATTATACAATAATCCAATTTCGGAAAAAATAATTAAATTTTAATAATCATTTCTAAAAGAGCGTCCGCTATATTAAAATTTAAATTCATAAGTATCTACGAATAAATTAGAATAATCAATCTCTCTTATAATAATTATCGATAGTATTACTTTTTGCTACACAAAAAACCGATACAATTCGGCAACGACGGCGTAACTAAAAAGTTTCGCTCCGCTTCGTCTATCATTCGAGACTAATATAATGGAATCATAATAACGACAAAGGCCATCCACTCTAAATTTAGAATTATTGTAGATATTAAATATATCTTATAATTTTATAATAAAAAAACACTATACATTCACAATTTGTAACAGTTGAGAATATGTCCGTCGATATATCGCTCTTTGCGCTTATTGTTTTGTGTGCGGGAGCCGGCGCCTTTCCTCAAGGTGCCACTGCCGAAACGTGCGAATCCATGATTCCTCGACACGTTACGACGAAACCTTCAAAAAATTCAAATTCTCCTTATACGTTTGTAGCCTCTTCTAATCATTATAACGAAACGTCGAAAAAAATAATTGGTAAGTTCGTAATACGAGATTATTCGATTGTTCGTAGTAAGTAATATGTGTGCGTGAAAACGTACTTTATGCGTAAGCAACCAATTGAGATAGTTCTTTATTAATCCATTTTATACTTTTCTAGTCGATTTAGGAGGCGCTCCGTTTAAAGGTTTTCTCATAGCAGCGATCGATCCCGTTACAAACGAGAGAATCGGAACTTGGTTAAAAAGCCAAGGAATGGATACATTACCGTGTTCCGCCGTAACTCACACTAACGCTAGACCTAAAATTTCGGCTACTCTAATATGGACCCCGCCATCTAACAAAAAAATAGGGGAAGTCATTTTCTTGTAAGTAGAGCGTTTGAAACTTAAAAAATCAATGTAACGTATTCATTGTTTGATAAGAAACTTGATAAAATCTGAGTCAACTTTCCTTTTTTGCAGAGGAACGATAGTGAGATCATTCGATACTTATTATAGTAATCTTTTAGCCGCAATACCTGCGGATGGATTTTATTTGCCGAGATTTAAGTAACTGTTTGTATATTATTTTAAATTAAATTTCGTGTCACATTATTACATTTTTTGTGCTCGATTAATTTGTCGACTTGAGACGCTATAACGCTAAAAATCGTTTGACAGATTACGGTTTCTGGCCGAGTGGATACCACCGCTAAATAAAAAGACTAGTTGGTCGCGGGTTCGCTCCTGGCTAACGGGCTGCCCGAGTTCAGTTTTCGAGGTTTTCTTCACGCGTCTAACATTTAAATGCGAGATGTCGTTATATTTCCATCACCTCACTTCCAGTTATTTTGGAGGTTACGGGGCGTATTAAGTTAGTTAAAAAATAATTATATCATTCGATTTTAAGATTTATTTTATATTTTAAAAATAATTAATTATATCCGGAAAACAGTTAACTTTTTTCCCGGAATCCCGGGAAATGAGAAACCCTAACTAACACCATCTATCAATTACTATATAACTGGATTGCTGTATATTAGATCTCTATGTAATACGTCTCTGTAATCCAACAAATGGTAGACGGACTCACAGCAAATTTTCAGTTAGGAACTACAATGGATTTTTGTAAATTATAGTTTGTAATCTGTTTATGTCACTATATATTTTTACAGTGAGTAATTGAGGAGGTTATCGTGTGGTATTAAACACTTCAATGGCTCTTTGAGCATGTACAGTACAATACCTCTACTAGGTATTAATGTATAACATGTGTTGATGTTATAGTTGTGTTGGTATCCCTTGCACAATTTTTATATCCTTAAGACACTGAGGAGGGGTTGGGATATATTGCGCCAACCTGAAATGCATTTGTCATTTTTGAGAATAAAATTGTAGTTCCTAACTGAAAATTTTCTGCGAGTCCGTCTACCATTTGTTGGATTACAGAGACGTATTACATAGAGACCATCTATCAAAGAAATAAAGCCAAAACGGTTGATATTATGGAATTTATTTTTGTAGTTAAATTATTCCAGTGCGATTGAAAATTGCAATTCCAGTCGAATGTTATACCCAAGTATTTTATTTCGTTTACTAAAGTAAGAGGCTGATTATTTAAATAGAATATTTCTCTCGATTTGACAGTTTAACATTGTTTCTAAATATGATAATTTTCGATTTAGAGATATTGATGGTTAAGTATTTTCCGGCACGGAATGAATTATCGTATTTTACATTAATTTTTATAGGAAAAATTAGTTCTCTTAACGAGTGTTTCGTGTTACGAGTAAGATTCTGGAAGGAATTATCTCGTTAAGCGAGGTTCCATTTCCATTGTATTTTTTAAAAAACAACAAAATTACTTACTCGGTTGATGTTTACAATATTTTTTTAAAGAGTATATTTTAATCTGTATCTAAAAAGAATATTCTAACACGAATGCAAAGTTATCCGAATTAATATAAAATAATGAAATTATTACAAAAGTTGCTTCTAGCCCTTGATATAATTATATTAATTAAATTATCCACAACCGTGAGGCAGATAATAGTAAGGGCTTATCAGACCAATGATGGGCACAAACGCTCAGGGATCAAAGTGAAAACAATTTAATAAACTCAAAAAATTACTACATAAGTGTGAAAACGAAAACCCAAAATTTATCAGTGTTTTTAATGCAGTGTTTAGACATTACCAGGGATTTTAGTTTGGATTTGACAAATAATTTAAGTTATATAAACAATAAAATTTAATATCAGCAAAAGGTCTATAAGCGATGGGTGTTTTATGGGTTTTGATCCTTATGTTAAACTTGGGGGTGCGGTGACCATAACTAGTGATAAACTTATAATCACTTTTATCAATAATTTTTATAGTTACTAGTTTTTTTAGACTAACAATCAATTCTTTTTTAATTTTAAGTGTCGGATTATGGGGCAGTTCCTCATACAAGTTGTTATCTAAAAGATCCTGGGCTACCTTAATATAACCCTGATAGTTCATGACTATACTCTAACTAGATTTGTCAGCCTGTAAGATAACTAAATTCATTAAGAATAATAATTTAGTCATCTTACAGGTTGACAAATCTAGGGTATTGAAAATCTAGTGTAGTAGGGGCGGCACATTTACAGTGCCGCCCCCACTACGCTACGCCACTGGTACCAATCTCCAGTCAATACTTTCGGTCGAAAATGAATCAGATATAAATGGAAATGATATTCGAGAAGAATCGCGTGATATATCCCGAATGCTACTATATTCTACGAAACCTTTGGATGTTTAAAATAATTTGTACTAAAATAACTTAATTACTTTGTATCCGAATACCGTCGTAACTCCGAGAATTTTATTAACACTCCCCGTCTCCGTAGCTAGTAAGGAAAGAAGGTTTTCCAAATTAAAATTAACAAAACACTACTAACAAGTTCAATAAGCCAAACAAAACTTAGAAATCTATAATTTATTTCTATCGAATCTACATTAGCCGCCACTCTAAACCACGCATCCCTAATTATTAACGAATTTGCTACAGTTAGAGTTAGAAGAGTAACACTGTAATAGATTATTGTAGTCGATAGTCGATGTCAATATTTTATAGCGGTTTATATCTTCAAAATGAAAATAGTATTCGTACATTTTGTGCAATTTTTTTAAATCAAAATCGAAGGTTATTTTAAAGAAAAAAAATTCAAATGGCGGCATTTCGAAGACTCGCGTCGTACTGAGAAAATCTACCGCGCGGCCTTGCCCGCAATGTTGTATTAACGCCGTTGCTATCGAAGTACCAGTACATAAGTACCATCTTAGTAAAAATAAAAAATGCGAACGTTTCTCGTAAAATGGCGTTTTGAAACGAACGCGAATCCCGGATGAAAAATACGATAACTTTTGCACGGATCGACCGGTACATAAAAGCTAATCGCGTGACTCCTACTGTACATAAAAACTTCGCTATTTCCGCGCACTAAAATCTTCGTTTTCTCATCGCGAAAGCGTTGAAAAGCCAGCGAATTCCCGTAGAAAAATAGACATTTAAGCAAAACCGTAGCTAAAACGTTTAAATCTTAATTAAGTCCGACTGTAATCGAGACCCTCGTTACGTATACGTTAGGCTCAAAGACCGAATAACTCAAAACAGCCGTAAATTTAGCGCAAATAATTATTTATTGAAATCCACATCCAAAATAGAAGACACGCGCAATTAACCACGTTCAATAATATTAAAAGAAAACGATGAAGTTACATTATTTGATTATTTGAAACGAAATAATAACATCTACCGTGACGTTTTTATACGCGTATCTTTTTGTGCGTCTGCACTATACGGTAGAGCATCGATCAACCGTCGCATCGGTTAACCGACCGCGTTCTAGTCGTCAAATTCAAATGTCCGCTAGCGATGTGGCGCTACAATATTTGGCTACGTCTCGGCTACATTAATATTATTTTTGTTAAATTTTTGCGTGTTTTAGCTGGCAACACTGGCTCGACCACGAAAGGGAGGCCGATATTTAAAAACAAATTTTGTTAGGCTTAAATTGGATGAAAATTCATCGCGAGATAGGTAAATAGCGATATACTAATATACTATAGTCTATTAATAATGTATTTTTTCATATTTTTCGGTTATCCGACCACCCCATTCCCCGATTGAGTCGGATAATCGATGCTATAGTGTAATTAGATTATTGATATTATTTCGCATTCCAGATTATCGAGCGCTGGATTAACTGACTCCAACTGTATTATATGCTAACTTATTTAATAGGCGTTCTCGTGTCCTTACTGTGAAAAAACATTTCGTTTTAAATCCCAATACGAAGACCATCCGATTAAACACTGGAATGATAAAAATTACGTGTGTGTCTTTTGCGACGAACGATCGGCAGTTTTCCACGTAAGGACTAAACACGAACGAAAAATGGTAGGTAATACTGTTAGATAATGAAAATATTTAACATTTTATTAAATACTTCTATTAATCTTTCTTACAGGATTCCAAAATAGAAAAATTCGCAGTATTCGTAGTCGCAGCCGCTGTAGCAGTAATTTCTGTGATGGTTATCAAAGATCAAGCGACACCATCGATAATATCAAGTATTCTGTGTGTAGCGTCTTTGCAAACAATAATTTTGGTAGACGATCAAACAGCAGTTTGTTAGAAAACGTTACGGTTTATTTATCGTTTCAAATCTCAATACGAAGACCGTGTCATCAAACATTCGGATGAAAAAAATTATATGTGCGTCTTTTGCGACAGTCGTTTCAAGTACACCCCTATAACACTGTTGATTTTTCCGTTTTATACGAATTCCATGTTGTACGAGTCACTTAGATTTTACAAATACGTGTGCCGGGCTGCGAACGGTTCACGTATTTGTAAAATCCAAGTGACTCGTACAACATGGAATTCGTATAAAACGGAAAAATCAACAGTGTTATAGGGGGCGACTGTAAAAAAGGTTTACCACATATTTACCACATAAGGACACAACACCTACGAACGGTAGGTAATACTGTAAGATAATGAAGTATTTAGTAAAGTTTTAAATATTTTCATTAATAGAAGATTAATCTTTCTTACAGGATTCCAAAATAGAAAAATTCGCAGTATTCGTAATCGCAGCCGCTATAGCAGTAATTTCTGTGATAGTTATCAAAGATCGAGTAACTCCAGCGATAATAGTTTTGGAACCGTTCTACAAAATAGCATTAAAAATGCTACTAAAATTTAATTGATACGATGCTCCGAGATATTTTCCTAAACGTAAAACACTTTTTTAATTCAAAAAAGTGTATTTAAAACACTTTTAATTCAAAAAAGTGTTTTAAATAAGCCGTAACGTTTTCTAACTAATTGCTGTTTGATCGTCTACCAAAATTACTGTTTGAATTGCAAAGACGCTACACGCAGAATTTGAAGATACGGCAACCGTACCTTCTACACTAAGAAATATCAAGTATTTTGGAACCGTTCTATAACATCGCATTGAAAACGTTGTATAAAATTTACTTTAAATGATAATTGAAAATGAAAAAAATTAGTAAATAAAAATATAATTTTACAAAATTTCAAATCGACTTCTTAATTACTAGTTACTTTTCACAGCGGTCGAAGTGGCAGCCTACCGCTCTGGGGGACCCGGGTTCGAATCCGAACGAATCGAAAAATCCCCAAGAATTTTTCGGGGGGGTGGTCCGTTCGGATATGTCGGACCCCGTGCCTCACCACCCGACAGCCCCATTGTGGGCCTGGCCGAACCCATAAAATGGGCTGGCAAAAAGAGGCCCTCTTAGTGCCCACAGGGCGGAAAGAATTAAAAAAAAAAGTTACTTTTCATAACCTGTGTTAAAATTGTGGTTTAGACGAAATTTCGGTTAATGTTCTTGTTTTGCATAGTTTTGTGAGGATGCGAACTCTTCGGAGTTTTAAATGGCTTAAATTAACGTAAAATTATCTTTCGTCATTATTTCCCTTATTCCTCCCGTTCTCCCCTTTTGACCCCGCAATGTAGGGCTTCACCTCAGAAGTGACTCTTCCCTCAAGAGAAATTTGAATTCCTTCAGTATCGATTAGAAAGTTTATCCGTATCATTTATGTAAAAGTTAAATATGGCGATAGTGGTTCTTCTTGTAGTAATCCTCGGTTTATATTTAATTCTGGGAATATTTGTTACCGTGGATAATATTAATTCTCTATAATGAAAATAATTTCGCCATTGAATCCGAGAATCTTTTTCCAGAAATTTTCAATTTGTTTATCAAAGCTGGGACACGAACTGAATCGAATGCTTTTGATATATCGACGAAAGCCGGATATATTTTTCTGTTTTTTTTTAGTAAGTAAATTTGTATCGTTGATATTAAGAAGAATACGGCCACTTCTGTTTCTTTTTTATTATTGCGAATTGAAATTTTGAGTTCGAGTTTAGTTCCGCTATCCGTTGTTGAAATCTTATCGCCAATATCAGTAAAGAATTTTCGTATTGTCGGTAATAACGCTATCGGTCGGTAGTTTCCTGGATCTTTTCTGTCTCCTTTTATATAGATCATCAGCAGTTTTACCGAATTCCAAGATTCCGGAAAGTTTGTTGAGTTGTAGAATGAATTGAATAGTTCGAGTAATACTCGCTTCCCCCATGGTGGTAGTAATTTTAAAAATTTAACTGTAATTACATCGATACCTGGAGAAGATTTCGTTTTCATTTGTTGATCGAAGCTTCCGATTCATCGTAGGCGATTAAAGGATTTAAAAATTCGTTTTCCGGATATAGCATCTCTGTATTACTGTATATATTTTTAATTACTTATATTTTACATCATTTAAAACGTATTTAAATGAATTTTTCACAATGCTTGTAAGGATATAATCGAATCTGTAACCGCAAATGACTTTCTCTGGAATATTAAACAAGAAGATGCGGTAATAATTATAACGTATGCGATTGAGGAACTCCAATAACATATCTGAAAAAAGAAAAATGACGTGTTATTATATGAAATTTGTAATTCATTTTTAATAAGTCATTTTTTAATATCGAGTCGTTTGCCATCTGCTCTCGCATAAATACCGAGAATATCCATTTTTATAACTAACAGCTGGAACTGAGTCGTAAATTTTAATTATTTTTATATTTTACAAAATCGGTCGTCGCTAAATTAAATTTTCTTTCGTAAATAATACATTTAAACATATTTTTTTAAAAATAATATTAGTATAAATAACATAAATATTTAATATACATANACTTTATATTACTTTTAAAAGATCAATTTTTCAAATATATTTCCTCAAAAAATTGATGAAAAAAACTTTATGGGTTAATTGTACCTAGATAACCCCCGTTTTTGTGCCTGGACCGCAGTTAATCAGAGACAAAGCTTTTTTTCTCTGAAAAAAGCTTTGTCTTTCAGAGAAAGAAAGCTTTTTTTCTCTGAAAAAAGCTTTGTCTCTGATTAACTGCGGTCCAGGCACAAAAACGGGGGTTATCTAGGTACAATTAACCCATAAAGTTTTTTTCATCATTTTTTTGAGGAAATATATTTGAAAAATTGATCTTTTAAAAGTAATATAAAGTAAACCGCACCAGGGGTATATACATATCTATTACTTATAACAGGAATTAATTTTCTTGAGATAATTAACTTTATATGCAATGTTTATGGTACAAGGTGCTATTACTCTGTAGTCTACTTTTTTACTAGTAACTCGTGCAATAGGAAAAGCGACATATTATAAACCTACCTATCTCTGGCATAAAGAGAACGAAGATTGAATAAATAGCGTAAAATTTATGTAAATTAACATATATCAGTAGTAGTTTTCTTCACGTGACTTACATCTACTATTAACATCTTCAAACGTGGCGCCGATTTCAAGTTGCCAGCTTACTAAATAAAAATATAATTAAATAATTGGAAATATTTATATTACGAACATATTATATAATATTAAAAATTGTAGAAGAAAATTTTTAATTCAAGTTATTCGGAGTTTAAAAAAATTAATTTGTCGTATTTCTTCGAGAATTATTATTTTTCAAAAATCATTTAAAATAACTTATTACTTTCTCGAAATTTTATAAAAACCGGGAACTTATTTTTTGCAGTTACTTTGACTTAATTAATCACTTCATAAAAGTGACCAGGCAGTTAAAGCGTCGGTTTACTGGTTTGGGGAACCCGGGACCGTTTCGGGCGAATGACCACAGAAGATCTGTCCCGGATATCTCGGACCCATCCCTCATTTCCGGCCAATCCCCTAGATCAGTGATGGGCAAACTACGGCCCGCGGGCCAGATGCGGCCCCCTGAAATGTTCTATCCGGCCCGCGCGACATTATTCCTAATCTGACGAGTAAAAAAGAATACAGGCTGTGGTGGTTGATGCACCACCTGAGTGTTCGTTGATTATATAAAATAACCGAAGCTTTATATCTCACCATGAAAGTTTATTTACAATCATGTAAAAAATTTTGTTTTACACTTATTGAGTAAAAGCTCGATCGGTTACAAGCATGCTTCGGTACAGAACATCCACTCGTCGTGCGTAGCGTAGCCGAAAGAGAGAAAAAGAAATANAAATTAAAATTACACGTGTATAAAGACTAAAACAGAAACTAAGGAACGTGACTTAAACAATGTTCGTGTTGCTTCAGAAGAGAGTAAAACAATGACAAACGAGACGCGATCGAAAAGTTCCGATATTGGGCGTATAAAAAGAAAAGAATATACAGTATCCCTCTTACAACGCGGTACTTCTACAATACGGTTTCGCTCTAACACTGTTTTAAAATTGGAATATTCCCCGTACAACAGACTTCCGGTTTCGCTCTAATACGATTTTGGAAATCCTCCGTACAAAATTTCACAATTTTTAAATGTAAAATTCGATATTTTTTTTAAATTCAAGTAAGCAAGCGTCGTCTCAAATTTGCCATGGAATTTATAATATTGAAAGTTTTAAATTATTTTGTGCTTCTGGTCAGGTTTACTTTAATGAAAACCGATAGGACAAGAAAGAAAAAATATTCCACTAACTTTCCTATCAACCAGGTGTTGTTGTCGTTATTTTCAGACTTTAGCCCTTAATCATTGTCAGTGTGTTTTCTTTTTATTTGTGTCTTCGTATTTAGCTAAGTGTTATTAAACTTTCTTTTTAACCGTAGGTATTACTTACCTACGAATGAAACAATCATTCGTAAAAATGACCAACAAAAAACAGTTGTATCCCGGCACTCAAACGGTTCCCAACTTGAACAATTCGACTGCCGGATAGCCGAGCGGTCAAGGTGGCAGCCTACCGCTCTGGGGAACCCGGGATCGAATCCGGACGGGTCAAGGAATCCCCAGGAATTTTTCGGGGGGGTGGTCCGTTCGGATATGTCGGACCCCGTGCCTCACCACCCGACAGCCCCATTGTGGGCCTGGCCGAACCCATAAAATGGGCTGGCAAAAAGAGGCCCTCTTAGTGCCCACAGGGCGGAAAGAATTAAAAAAAAAAGTTACTTTTCATAACCTGTGTTAAAATTGTGGTTTAGACGAAATTTCGGTTAATGTTCTTGTTTTGCATAGTTTTGTGAGGATGCGAATTCTTCGGAGTTTTAAATGGCTTAAATTAACGTAAAATTATCTTTCGTCATTATTTCCCTTATTCCTCCCGTTCTCCCCTTTTGACCCCGCAATGTAGGGCTTCACCTCAGAAGTGACTCTTCCCTCAAGAGAAATTTGAATTCCTTCAGTATCGATTAGAAAGTTTATCCGTATCATTTATGTAAAAGTTAAATATGGCGATAGTGGTTCTTCTTGTAGTAATCCTCGGTTTATATTTAATTCTGGGAATATTTGTTACCGTGGATAATATTAATTCTCTATAATGAAAATAATTTCGCCATTGAATCCGAGAATCTTTTTCCAGAAATTTTCAATTTGTTTATCAAAGCTGGGACACGAACTGAATCGAATGCTTTTGATATATCGACGAAAGCCGGATATATTTTTCTGTTTTTTTTTAGTAAGTAAATTTGTATCGTTGATATTAAGAAGAATACGGCCACTTCTGTTTCTTTTTTATTATTGCGAATTGAAATTTTGAGTTCGAGTTTAGTTCCGCTATCCGTTGTTGAAATCTTATCGCCAATATCAGTAAAGAATTTTCGTATTGTCGGTAATAACGCTATCGGTCGGTAGTTTCCTGGATCTTTTCTGTCTCCTTTTATATAGATCATCAGCAGTTTTACCGAATTCCAAGATTCCGGAAAGTTTGTTGAGTTGTAGAATGAATTGAATAGTTCGAGTAATACTCGCTTCCCCCATGTGGTAGTAATTTTAAAAATTTAACTGTAATTACATCGATACCTGGAGAAGATTTCGTTTTCATTTGTTGATCGAAGCTTCCGATTCATCGTAGGCGATTAAAGGATTTAAAAATTCGTTTTCCGGATATAGCATCTCTGTATTACTGTATATATTTTTAATTACTTATATTTTACATCATTTAAAACGTATTTAAATGAATTTTTCACAATGCTTGTAAGGATATAATCGAATCTGTAACCGCAAATGACTTTCTCTGGAATATTAAACAAGAAGATGCGGTAATAATTATAACGTATGCGATTGAGGAACTCCAATAACATATCTGAAAAAAGAAAAATGACGTGTTATTATATGAAATTTGTAATTCATTTTTAATAAGTCATTTTTTAATATCGAGTCGTTTGCCATCTGCTCTCGCATAAATACCGAGAATATCCATTTTTATAACTAACAGCTGGAACTGAGTCGTAAATTTTAATTATTTTTATATTTTACAAAATCGGTCGTCGCTAAATTAAATTTTCTTTCGTAAATAATACATTTAAACATATTTTTTTAAAAATAATATTAGTATAAATAACATAAATATTTAATATACATATATTTGTATTTTACTACTGTATGTATTTTAATGGGAATTTATTGTTGATTGTATCGGGGGTGGCAATTATTGCCTTAGCGACGTCGCCTATATTCAGGGGCGGATCTAGGTTTTTCGGGGCCTAGGGCTTATTGAAGTCCAATGGGGCCTCATTTTTGTAAGATTAAGAATAAAACAAATAATACTATAAATTATCATCATTATTATATTATTAGTATTAACTATTTTTACTATACGATAAGTGCTCATTGTTAACAAAAAAGTATTAAAAATTTATGAAAATAATTCAATTTTTGTGGGCCCTCGACCCTCGGGGCCCCGGGGCTTAAGCCCTATTAGTCCCTACGTAGATCCGCCCCTACCTATATTAAAGAAGTTAGTTAAATGCTCCGAGTAATTTTTCTAAATAATTAGACACCGTTATAATAAAAATGAATAAAATAATTTCCTTATTTTATTTTAAAAATATTATTGAAGGTAGAAATTTTTTCCATCTTAACTAAGAAACATTTACCACGTAAGAAAAATTGATGTTTAAAATAATTCTATATTAAAATTAATTTTATTTAAAAAATAATTACTTTAATTTTTAAAAAAACTTACTTGAATTAAAATTAGCAAATTAAAAATGATTTTGTCATCTTTGTCATCGTTTTTCTGCCTTAAAATGTTTGCAAAACCCGTTTTGCAACTGAAAATAAAAAACAAAACGAATTAAACATAAATAATATGCCGATTTATTATTAATTTCTTATATATCATTATATAATATGATATAAAATAAATAAGACATTCCCGAAGTTCGATTATCCAATTACACACCTTAAAAGCGGATATTGAGATCCTATAGATTTACACGACAGAGCAATGCCAGTGGTTGTTAGGCAGCTGTTGAATATAAACATATTTAAAAAGAAAATACTCGCTGGATAAAATGGTTTCTTCCAAACCGTATATCTACATGTAATAAAATATTATATAAATATAGGGATAGGAGATAAGTAAATATATGTATAGTAATATAAATAAAATTACGTTTGCGGTTTACGACGTAATAGCTTAACAATTGGTATAAGGTGGTAAATAAACATGGGAAACGAATAAAGGAATATAAATGAAGGAGAAAATTTCAAATATTCACAAATTGATAAGGAATATTCCGGATGACACCATTCTGTTTCTGTTTTCATAGAAATAAATAAACCGCATCCGGAAAATACAAACTTTGCCTTGATAAAAAAGGAATAAACTATAAATTTAATTTAATATTAATTATATTATATATTAGCATTATATATATTTATATAAATTTTCTTACTTGTAATATAGAAATGACGATAGGTATTATAATACAGCAAACGGTCGCGTATAAATATAAAAATGAAAATAAAGTTAAATAAATAAGCTTCATTTTAAAACATAATCCGGTAACGACTCTTAGAAATTTGATAACTTATCTGTAGGATTAATTCTCCTTATCGCCAGTAGCAAAAACCCCGTGAGAATTAATTTTAAGTGAAGTAGATCGACGTATTCGCGTGGCTCGTCCTCATAGTTTACAATGGTCGTGTTATATTTAATATAATCGAACTGGCGTAAACAATAAAATCCCGAATATTATCCAGCTATTTGATACGTATAATCTGTAAAAATAATAAAATTGTAGGATATATATTCGTTTTTCGGTTATTAGAACGTATTAACTATTCTTGTTCGTACAATTAAACACTAACTATTCTTGTTTCCGCCATTAAAGTTAATCGTAATTAGCCAGTACTTTATGACTTATTAAATTCGCATGCCGAATTTTATACAGAAAAGAGTACTGTAATGTTATTTATTACGATTTAAAAATATGCTTTATGAGAAAATAGATGGCACTGTAATCTCCACTAACGCGTAAATTAAGGCGAATTATCTGATCCCAAATATTAGTAATTCATTAAAATTCGGGAGAATTAAATCTAGGGCAGAGACACTATTTATTTGAAGAGAAAACGACGGCAGCGACGCCTTGTTCTGTAGAAACGACAGCGATTTGGTAATTTACTAATATGACATCGATCTTCTACAACCAATCGATGACGGTATTTGTATCGCTATTTGAAGAGTGTTTAAATTGACGTTCGGACACGGAGGTGCGCGATGGTTAGCGCCTTCGGCCGTTAACCGAAACGTTGGTGGTTCCGGCTCACCCGGGGACGGATTTTTTTTGTATTTTTTTATGATACCGTCTCCTTTTCGTATTGTCGACTCGTTAAACACTGATTTTATAGTGTATTTTGAAGACACGTGGCAAATTTTCCACGTGTCTTCAAAATACACTATAAAGTCAGTGTTTAACGAGTCAACAGAATTTTTTTTTGTTGTTTTTTTTATTAGTTCTAGCCCTTCATTTTGACTTTTCTTTAGTGTTGCAGCGAATAGTATATTCGGCTTCGGGCCGAATACCGAATATTCGGCTAGGAGCGTGGCCGAATAGCCGAATATTCGGCCATACTATTCGGCTCGATTAACGCGCGTACGAAAATTGGCGCGGAAACCGCATTAAGGCGAGGACCCCGCTCTCTATTGGCCCGCTGTCGCTACGTTTTGCCAATCGCGTTAACTCTTGACAGTTGTAGCGGACAGACAAGAGCGTCGTGGCAGTATGCGATAAATGTTGATATGAAATGTGGATAGCAACGAAATGACCTACACGTGTAAATAACGGAAAAAGAACAGAGAAGGACCGCGAAAATGTGAAATTGAGTCGATAGCATAATCGAACGAGTCGAGGCAGCTTATTGGCGCGAAATTCGCGGCCGTCGATGCCAAACGATTGTCGTCGTAGACTTCGGAAAGCTAAATGCTTGTAATGAAAGTCACTTAGCGTGCACGGGCGAAAACCTAGGGCCGTTCGGGCTACCGAGCTGTCTCGAATCTGCGAAATCGTAACTGTGACTTATACCCACGTCCTACCTGTCTCTTCTCTCCATTATCACCGGGCTACGAGTCGCGTAATTGTAAAATTTGAAACCTACGACGGAAAAGTGACGAATCGAAAGTATCGTGAGCGCGTATTACGATGTACGCGTAGGCATACGTGGATTAGAGCGATAGAGGAAAGAGAAAGGGAAGAGCAAAGACGAGCGCTTAAAAAGAAGGATAGGCAGGGTCAGACCCTCAGATGTGTGACGATTCTCGAACGAATAGGTGTGTACGTGTGCTGATCTTTGTAATTATAAATTGTGAATACGAGTGACTAATATTATTTTCTTTTTTATTTTGTGCCTGTTATAAGTTATAAATAAATATAAACAAACAACACTAACCCGATAACATTAAATCTAAATATCAAAATGATTAATTTACTGTGTTTTTGTTATTTCTTACTCCTGTTTTTAGGTATTCGGTATTCGACCGAATACCTAAAAACAGTTACTATTCGGTTACTATTACTAACGAATATTCGGTTACTATTCGGTATTCGACCGAATACCGAATAGTAACCGAATATTCGTTACATCACTAATTTTTACCGTTTCTGATGCTCTTTAAATTCAGAGACAAGCAAAGGACCGGGAAATGAGAAATCCTACTGTGTGCTATGCCGGACCAGAGTCGAGGCACAGATAGCAACCAAAACAAAACAAAAGTTAAATAAATGTGTCAGTGTGTGTCTGTATTCCGGAATTTCCTGACAATATGACATGTATTCAACATGTCATATTGTCATGCCTTTTGTAGAGTGACGTATGTGTTTCTATTCAATTGTAATGTTCCCAGGCTTTTGTGTAGTGTGTGTGATATCACACCTGTAGAGAAGAGAACGACAAGTACAGTAAGCACCCTATCCATCATCCACAGATGCCTTATTTCCTGGGCGAGTTCTGTGTACAGTACTTGTTGATTTTTTCAGTGCATGTGTTTTGTATATTGTGAGTGTTTGGAATGGACATGTTACTGTATATGATTGTGTTTGTCAATGAGTGAGTCTGGTCTGTTGTGGTAAATTGTTTTANCCTACTGTGTGCTATGCCGGACCAGAGTCGAGGCACAGATAGCAACCAAAACAAAACAAAAGTTAAATAAATGTGTCAGTGTGTGTCTGTATTCCGGAATTTCCTGACAATATGACATGTATTCAACATGTCATATTGTCATGCCTTTTGTAGAGTGACGTATGTGTTTCTATTCAATTGTAATGTTCCCAGGCTTTTGTGTAGTGTGTGTGATATCACACCTGTAGAGAAGAGAACGACAAGTACAGTAAGCACCCTATCCATCATCCACAGATGCCTTATTTCCTGGGCGAGTTCTGTGTACAGTACTTGTTGATTTTTTCAGTGCATGTGTTTTGTATATTGTGAGTGTTTGGAATGGATATGTTACTGTATATGATTGTGTTTGTCAATGAGTGAGTCTGGTCTGTTGTGGTAAATTGTTTTATCTGTGATTATGGCTCTGTCAAGTACATTTTGTGCTTATTGTTTTCCAATACTGTTTGTGATGTATTTATAGTATGGTTCGTTTATGTCTAATAATTTATGTTTGTTTGCAAGCTCTTGGTGTATTATATTTACTACTTGATTATGTCTATGTAAATAATTGTCTGTGCCAAGAACTTGCAACCAGAAGTGATATGTTGTATAGTTTCTGGCATGATGTGACATTTTCTGCATGTCTCATTTGTGAGTGTTGTATCTTTGAGTATGTTAGTATTTATGATCTCTGACCCTGTATGGCAATCATAAACCCTTCCGTTTCTCCAAAGAGACATCCCGAACTAACCAACTGTTTGACGTAGTTTTGTCAACAAAATCTATGTCCAGGTCGTAAGGATGCCTACCGTGGAGTGCCTTTCGAGCCCACGATTGCTTAATGGTGTCTATGCTTTTTATATGTTGTGTCGTGTTCGTATGATGTGAGTGTAAGTTTAATGGTGCGTTATTTGAGTCTGCTAGAGTTACTGCTTTATGTAACTGTGATGTTTCTTGTTTCCTGTAGAAAAACTCTCGCAATGACTGTATTTGTTTGTAGTGAAGGTTTATAATGTCAATCAGGCCACGTCCGCCATCTTTACGTGGAAGGGTTAATCTTTCTGGGCAGATTTAGGATGATGTTGTTTATGCTTAGTAAGTATTGTTCTTGTTTTCCTTTGGAGTTGCTCGAGATCTGTGCGAGTCCAATGTATAACTCCAAAAGAGTATGCGAGTACTGGGACGACATATATGTTTATTACTTTAACTATGTGTTTTGCATTTAACTGTGTTCTGAGAATAGCGTTTAACCTACTTTGGTATTCTTTAATTAATCTTTGCTTCATTTGTGTATGTTCCGCTAGTTTGGCCCGTTGGAATCCTAAAATCTGTAGAACTCGCCCTCTTCCATGGGTTCAATAACGTCTCTATTTCCAAGTGCAAAATCTTCTTTCTTCAGGATTCCTTTTTCTATGTAAAGTGTTTGCATTTGTCTAGGCCAAACTCCACTCGTATGTCCTTGGAGTACGAATGTGTTAGTTGTAGGAGTTGATAAAGTTGTTTTTGGATGCATAAAGTTTTATGTCGTCCATGTACATGAGATATGACAACGTTTGTTTTTCATGTCTGACATTGTAACCATGTTGTTTAACATGTTATATATTGGGTTTAGGCTAAGCAAAACCAGAGAGAACTCAAGGAATCTTCTCGAAAAATATTAATATTATTACTTCCCGAAAAAACGAAGTGGCCGAAAAATGAAACCTTTCACGGGGCAGATAGAAAGCTAGATACGACACCGAAATTACAGTTACGTGATTTAAGTAATAAAAATACATTTTTCATTATTAAAATTATTTTCGTGCACTGTTCCATTATTTTGTATATTTCGTAAGTGTATTCGTGGGAATAAAAATCCGCGATATCAATCACAATTTTAAATGTTAATTGCCAAAATTAAAAATAATAGAAGTAATATTTCGTTGATTTCCCAAAAGAATTACACAACGTTTCACTTTTAAGTTATTAAAATAGCAACACAATTATAAGCTAGCTTTTTATACAGGTTGTCTTCTAAAAAGCGATCCAGGGATAATAACTCAGAATTAACTGTCAGATTCACGTAAACAATGCCTGTTTTCGTACATTATCGAGAATGATGTATTGATTGGTGCATCAGTTAATTATTCCCCCAAGGAGGAATAAAATTATCTCAGCTCCTATTGCAGCTAGAACTACTGTGCAAATTTTAAAGTTGTAAAGCGGGACGAAATAAGTACATTTTACATCTTATTCGAGTTAGAAAGGATAAAGAGCGCGCGTCACGTACTCCCGAAAATCTGAAAGGTTATGTAAGTTCGATTTCATTGTAGTCCAAGTTGCTTTAGTTTCTTGGACTTTAAAGTTTTCGTGCTTGTTTCTTAGGCTTTAAAGTTGTCGCATTTTGTTTGAGTTAAAGATCAAACAGGATAAAAGGAAGGCAATAATTTGGAACTTAGCATTTTATTGCATCCAGAGGTGGTTCCAAATTACAGCCTTCTGTTTGTGCTGTTTAATCTTTAATGCAAACAAAATGTATTCTTCGTTGACAGCCTTATTACAAATTACTTAAAGCTTGGGAAGCAAACACTTTATAAAGCAACATTGACTACAGTAAAGCCGAACTTGCGTAGCTTTCAAATATTCGGTAGTACGTGGCTCGCATTCTTTACCTCTTTTTAATTTACCAAAATGTGAAATTTACTAAATTCGTCTCGTACCACATTTGGAACTTTAGTTCTAGCCGCAATAGGAGCTGAGATAATTTGGGGTAGAAGAAATTCATTGATACACCCATGCTCGATAATATATGAAAACACGCATTCATTGTTTACGGAAATCTGACAGTTGTTTGTAAGCTACTAGCCTGGATCGCTTTTTACGAGACTTCTTGCCTATTTCATGCCTGAAAATTTGTGATTTAAGCAATAGAACTCAATTAATTTAATAGTTATATATCATATATTTTTTATTTATTCGAGAGAAATATTAGGAAAGCCAACACGTAGATAAAGAAAAAATAAATAGATAAACGGGTAATGATAATCACAATATATTAATTACAGCGTTATTCATTAGTTTAGCATATTTATTTAATACCATGTAATCGTACAAGATGTTAAATTGTAAGTTAAAAATTTTCATAAATTAATGATAGCATAATTATTTACGAAATGGTATTTTTATCAATTAACCTTCGAATTTATCTTTCCTGTTTCTCAGGAAACGAAATAAGGATAAACGATTGTATCATTCTAATTATGAAATTTATATACTTTAATATATACTGTTTAGTTTTTCTTCACTTTTTAATTCTTCTAAAAAATGCTTGAATTTAGTATTTTTCATAGATCAAAACGAAAAAATGACGCCTGTATGTGTAAACAAACTACCCAATTAATAACGTAATGAAATTTTTAAAAATTTTATTTGAATCATACAGAACTGTACTTCCTATTATTACTGTATATTCAAGAATATAAATTATAATCGTACAGTTATAGACTCGATTGTAGGCTACTTTTTAAGTGCACGAAACAGTTGAGGAAATTGTATTGTATTAATTTAGCCCATAGACTGAATTTACGAATACTGATAATAGCCCAAAAATCGAGGAATTTTAAAGATATATCTAAGCGGATATTATTATAAATTATCGATATGTTTTTTTCGACAAAAAGCGACAAACATTAGCTAAAATTCAACTATTAAAAGATATGAATATTTATTAAAGATAAAACTATAATCAAGTAACTTACTGCAAAATATGGAAGGAATATTGATATTCGTGCAAAAATATATTCTTAATTTAAAGTATGTTTTAAAAAGTCGCTAAATAGTTTAATTTGATATAGCAACGCAACAAATGGGCTATCCGTCAAGGAGGGATATCCCAGAAGGACTTTTTTACGGCCTTTGTTTAGATATTAGACACGTGAAGAAAACTGGAAATTCTACACGACCAGTGTCTAGTGGTTTTATCCACTCAACTACTGGTGAATATTTATCATAAAAACATGGTATTCATTTTATAATTCGATTCTTCGGCAGATAAATAACATTAACACAAAAGTATGAAAAAATGAATACCTACTATAGCAGACATTGACAAATATATTTCAAAGAATGATAATTGTATCTTAATTGATGTTTTAATCACGTATTTACGCATTTAAACATAGGTGATAACTTATAGCCATTTGTTTATATTTTTTTGCCAGTAAACTCGGCGCGCAATAAAATCGTTATTTATCGCATTTTTCGCGACTAAAATGCGACTAAAAAAGTCATCAGACGTCTTACCAGTGTTCCCAAGCCGTTCGTAAATAAATGTGTCTACATTTTAAAATAAACGTCACTGATTTCGCAATTGTCACCTAGTCGCTCTGGAAGACTCGGATTCCGATCCTGATAGACTCAGAAATTTTCGTGAGTAGATTGAACCCGATATTTCGGAACCAGGTCCGCTTCCAATGTAAACGTGGCCGAACCCACCGTGATGAATATTTGTTTCTTACTCTTTTAATCCCGAGAGCCTTAAGAGGATCTTTTTTTCCATACTCATCTCGGGTTCGACCGTGCCCATAATGGGAGTGGCCGGGTGGTAATCTATCTCGTCCGTGAAAAATCCCCGAAAAATTGCTCGTCGGATGCGATACCCGATTTCCCAAAGCCCTATATAAATTGACGCCTTAATTGCCTCGATCATCGGGCTAACTATAATGTGTATGAAAAAAGCCTCTTAGTGCCCACAGCGCGGAAAGATTTAAAGGAAAAAAGAAATTTATTCTATTTTATAAGCTAAACAATTTATTTTTAGTAATTTGTTTTTAGTAATTAACATTGTTATTCAGTTAAACATAAAAAATAAAATAAAAATAAGGGCATACACAATTATGCCTTATTTATTGATTTGTTTTTCGTTAGCCTACAAAGATTGGAAGCGAAGGAATTTTATCGTCATCGTTCGAATTAAATTTATCTAGCGAAAGGGTGTAATAATGCTTGTAAAATTGAATATATTATTACTTTAGAGTGGTAAACAGAAATTATTTTAATAAATATTTGAAATATATGACGTCAAGTATCGTTGACGTGTCTCGATCCGATTCAAGATGGCGACCTCCATCAATGGTCCCGCTACAGGCAACGATGATTGTCATCAATTAACCGAGAAAAACAAGGAAATGGATGAATTCGGCGATTCGTGGGGATTTTGCCTATCTGACCTATATAAAATGGCAACTACTTTTTATAAAGGTAATTTCTTAATGCATTAATACATAGGCCTAGTATCGTGTAGTGTTTGAGATAGGAGTAACACTACTCCAAGTGTTACGTGTAATATTTATTTAATCAATTACCTTTCGTTGCAGAAGACTCGATTAACTTAATACACAATAAGCGCGAAGTATATTTCTGAAAGCAAATTTAAAAATTAACATATAATTAAATAAATATTCGATTATTTCTACTTACATAAGAATAGAGAGAAACCTTCGGTCTCGATTTATATTAAATTAATTATTTATAATCATTTAAATAATTTTTGACATTATTATGTGTCTGTTGGAGTATAGTAAATAAACGAGCCAATTGAAATATTTTATAAACAAAATGATAGACAATACAGTTTCAGCGGGGTGGGTGTGATCGAATTAACCTTTGATGTGATTTATTTAATAAAAATAAATGTCAGTCATATTCTCCTGACAATATTTTGGTCGATGGTAATAAATCAAATTTATTTCTAAAATTAAAAAAATTGCCAAGTTAAGACAGTTTTATGGAGTACATTATCGTTTTCTTGTATAATAATATGAAACGTGTATCAGCAGATATTTTAAATGTTTTGTAATAAATGAAAACTGTTTTATTACTTTTTAATTTTCTTCTATAAAATATTATATGTTTGATATAATTTAATTAATTTTAATGAATAAACTTATTAGTTAAATATTTTTAATGGTTAATATTCACTTCTGATAATTTCAACTTCATTAAAAAATATATTTGTGTTGTATTAGTATAATACAACACAAATATATTTTATTATATATAAAAAATNATATATAGCATAATAATATAATAATAAAATATATATATGGTTTGTTGATTTTCTTTTCAAATTTTCTTTAAAATGTTGTTTACATAAACCATAATTTTAAAGTATTAAATTTTACAAATTTCTAAATCTATATTTTATACCTTTTGAAAATTATTGTGTCTGTCTCAATTCTGAAATTTCGATTGATTTTCCTTAACAACCAAATTAAAAATAAAAGTTTGTTTTGTTAAATTTCCATTACAGATGAAGTTTGATCTTTTAATGAAAACCGTGCAATTTTTTTTCTGTTGTTTAAAGAGAGTGTTATTTCTCTGTAAACTTGATAATATATAAACTCTATAAACTTCAAATTTAATAAACAAATTTATTATGCAATCTTATTAAAAACACACTTCTACAAACAAAATATATATCTAACATTATAAAATTTCATGTTTTATAGACAAATATTTTATAAAATATAAACCGACTATGTATATTAACAATGCAATATAAACATTATATATTCTAATTAAACTTGTTAAATAAATGTTGACCTAATAGAGATTTTACATTTTAGGAATATAGTAAATGCCTGCTAACTTCGACTAATAAGGGATTAAAGAACAATTTAAATCTTTGTAAAAATGCTAAAAAATTTTATAAAATAAAAACATAAAAATTTAAATATTTTATGAACATATTTACAATCATTCAAATATGTTATTTTTTTAAACACAGTTTATCTTAATGCAAATTCTTCATATTCAGGCTTAAAAATATAAAAATAAGTGTGAAAAACATTAGGCCCAAATTGGAAAACTTATTATGCTAAATGTTGCTTTGTAATGCCATATAACTTTTAATTTTTCAATAACTTCAGTTATAATTTATAAGAAATTAAATATATTTTAAAACAATTTTGAATTGTTTAAAAATTTATTTATGAAATAAAATTAGTGACATTCAGTACATATATCTAATTTTGTTTAGTTATGTGGTATTTACAATACCATATAAAAGCAATAAGCATTCTTTTAATTATAATAATTATAAACTTATCACTTTGTATAAAATACTTTTCTCTACATCCTCAATATATATAATTTTTTTCTGTCAGTGTTAATAGAAAAGAACCTTTTTGTTTACCATAGGTGCTGAATCATATTGACTTGTATAATTTATAATAGATAAATGCAAATGGTTGAAAAAATATAATTACTAAATTTATATAATTCTTTGTGACTTATTTTTCTACATAATATTCTAAAATTTTTTATACAGATTATGAGGTGATGAGATTATCAGTCTTATTACACATGTATAATAATCATGCCTGAATTTTAATCACCAGTTAGCTAAATTCCAGAATTTTTAGCTTAAATTTATCACAGAAAAAGCTAATATTTAGATTAATTATTCATGTACTTAAGTGATAGTGTTCACATAAGGATAATAAGCATAGACAAGCTCTATTCTAGTATTATCAATTGTCTACATGCAGTTTTCTATTTGATGTCAATGTTTCTTCAGGTTCTATATTAAAATTGTATTTGTTGATTGAAAGTATGTTGTTCTATTATCTAAAAATTGCCTTGTAACATTCCTAATATTTTTTAATTTTTAATATACTTGTACACATTTTTAAAATTTCAGTTTTAAATAAAAGAAAAACATTGATAGATTTTATACTTGGAAAATTACAGCAGTAAATGCTTTCTAAAGAAGATTAAGGATCTTATACTTTTATTTCAAAAATTGAAGTATTATGAATGTAGCTTTTTGTATTAAAAAAAACTGTTTATCAATTAAACAAATAAGAAAATTTTCATGTTTTTGATTTTTTAATTATTATTACAGTATATATAATGGAAACTTTTTATTTTAAAAATGTATGTATGTATATATATTAGGAAATAGTATATATTTAATTTTTTAATTTAATTTAATTTAAAATTTCTTGGGCAATAAATTTGTTTTTGACTTACTTTTTGAACAGATGTTGAATTTTAAATACATAAATTTTATTCTATTATTACAAATATTAGGAAGTATTGCTATATCTATAAACTCATTTGAAATATGTTAACTTTTTATAGGTACCTATTAAATTTATTAATGAGTATGATAAATTTTGCTGGTCACATGCATATATATGTTTTCAACATTGAATTACATAAGACCTATTAATATTATCTTTTCATTTGCATGACACTTGAATAAGTGAAGAGTATTTAGCTGTCAAAACCATACAAAATGAAAATTTCTTCTGTTACCAGATAATAGAAAAATTTCCATATATTTAATTATATGTAATTTTCCTTTAAATAATTTAAGTAATTAATTTTAAAATCTTATCAATAATTGTTTTTTTTTTTTTTTTTNCGACTATGTATATTAACAAGGCAATATAAACATTATATATTCTAATTAAACTTGTTAAATAAATGTTGACCTAATAGAGATTTTACATTTTAGGAATATAGTAAATGCCTGCTAACTTCGACTAATAAGGGATTAAAGAACAATTTAAATCTTTGTAAAAATGCTAAAAAATTTTATAAAATAAAAACATAAAAATTTAAATATTTTATGAACATATTTACAATCATTCAAATATGTTATTTTTTTAAACACAGTTTATCTTAATGCAAATTCTTCATATTCAGGCTTAAAAATATAAAAATAAGTGTGAAAAACATTAGGCCCAAATTGGAAAACTTATTATGCTAAATGTTGCTTTGTAATGCCATATAACTTTTAATTTTTCAATAACTTCAGTTATAATTTATAAGAAATTAAATATATTTTAAAACAATTTTGAATTGTTTAAAAATTTATTTATGAAATAAAATTAGTGACATTCAGTACATATATCTAATTTTGTTTAGTTATGTGGTATTTACAATACCATATAAAAGCAATAAGCATTCTTTTAATTATAATAATTATAAACTTATCACTTTGTATAAAATACTTTTCTCTACATCCTCAATATATATAATTTTTTTCTGTCAGTGTTAATAGAAAAGAACCTTTTTGTTTACCATAGGTGCTGAATCATATTGACTTGTATAATTTATAATAGATAAATGCAAATGGTTGAAAAAATATAATTACTAAATTTATATAATTCTTTGTGACTTATTTTTCTACATAATATTCTAAAATTTTTTATACAGATTATGAGGTGATGAGATTATCAGTCTTATTACACATGTATAATAATCATGCCTGAATTTTAATCACCAGTTAGCTAAATTCCAGAATTTTTAGCTTAAATTTATCACAGAAAAAGCTAATATTTAGATTAATTATTCATGTACTTAAGTGATAGTGTTCACATAAGGATAATAAGCATAGACAAGCTCTATTCTAGTATTATCAATTGTCTACATGCAGTTTTCTATTTGATGTCAATGTTTCTTCAGGTTCTATATTAAAATTGTATTTGTTGATTGAAAGTATGTTGTTCTATTATCTAAAAATTGCCTTGTAACATTCCTAATATTTTTTAATTTTTAATATACTTGTACACATTTTTAAAATTTCAGTTTTAAATAAAAGAAAAACATTGATAGATTTTATACTTGGAAAATTACAGCAGTAAATGCTTTCTAAAGAAGATTAAGGATCTTATACTTTTATTTCAAAAATTGAAGTATTATGAATGTAGCTTTTTGTATTAAAAAAAATGTTTATCAATTAAACAAATAAGAAAATTTTCATGTTTTTGATTTTTTAATTATTATTACAGTATATATAATGGAAACTTTTTATTTTAAAAATGTATGTATGTATATATATTAGGAAATAGTATATATTTAATTTTTTAATTTAATTTAATTTAAAATTTCTTGGGCAATAAATTTGTTTTTGACTTACTTTTTGAACAGATGTTGAATTTTAAATACATAAATTTTATTCTATTATTACAAATATTAGGAAGTATTGCTATATCTATAAACTCATTTGAAATATGTTAACTTTTTATAGGTACCTATTAAATTTATTAATGAGTATGATAAATTTTGCTGGTCACATGCATATATATGTTTTCAACATTGAATTACATAAGACCTATTAATATTATCTTTTCATTTGCATGACACTTGAATAAGTGAAGAGTATTTAGCTGTCAAAACCATACAAAATGAAAATTTCTTCTGTTACCAGATAATAGAAAAATTTCCATATATTTAATTATAATAATTAGATGACACTTAGCTTGCAAGCCACTGTTTAGCTACCGTAAGCATAGAGTATACTTAGACAAAACTATATGGTATTTTCTACTACTCATACGGGCTGTAACAACACGATGGATAACTATTTATGTATCTAAACATAGAAAAAATACAGGTGACTAGAAATTTTTCAGCTCAATTGTAATCTTTTGGTACCTCTGTTGTATAAGCAATCCGTCACTAAATGGCACTTACCTGTATTATGCAACAATTTCAAAGATTTTAGATGTGATAACCTCAAAATATTTATAAAATTTATAGAAATTTTAATGGCATTGAGAATTAAAAATACAATATACAAGTAAACTATATACAATAATGTACATAGAATTGTTTTTTTTTTTTTATATTCAAGATTAAAAGTGGTAAATACTTTAAAACTTCTTTGTGTAAGAGGTCAAGTTTATAAGATTTAAATCTATCCTAAGTTCGACTTTTAGCATCGCAAAATTTTCTTCGAAACACTTCTTCATATTTCCGTCTGACAAGCCGACAAA